AATGTTATACTTGGGCATGTTTTGAAATGGGAAGACTGTGAAATTTTGTATGTTCATGCTTGATTTCCGGTATTAATCATAGTCAAGGGTAGAATTTGAGGTTAAAAAATGAAGTGCTCCTCTATAGTTGAGATTTGTACATAGTTGGGGGTATATTTGATACTCACATTGCTCTAGAACGAGCAAGAGTCTAAGTAGGGGGTGTTGATGTTAGCTTAAAGTACATATATTTATATGTATATTGCCTCATGTTTTACTCTTGTTTCGTGGATTTAGGATGTAAAATGTGTTGATTTATATTAATTTGAGATGTTTTTATGTATATGAATGATCTGGAAGCAATTGGGGGCGATAGGTGCGAGATTAGAGCCAAAACGGACGAAAAAAGGGAAAGTGGGATTTTCAGCGCCACAGGCAGCGCCCCAGACAGTGTGTTCAATTTACCAGCACCAGGGCCGGCACCTAGCGCTAGGCTGGACACTAGTGACGGGATTTTTGTCCAACTTTGCCCGGGACAAGGTTATTTCGGCCCTAGACCTACCCAGTGAGTATAAAAGCAAGACTAAGCTTATTTTTGGAGAGGGGACGCTACTTTGAAGGGAGAATACACACGAGAAATATTCGGGAGAGAAGAGATCTCAGTTTTCTTCATCTTTTCTTAGTATTTTCAATTATCCAACACTTATAAATTTGTTTGATACTATCATGAGTGGTTAAACCCCATAGTTCTGGGATTGTGATTTAGCCATAAATATTGTTGTTTAACATTGACTTAACCTTGACTATAATTCATTAATATATGTTTGTTTCTTCAATTCTGTGATTAATTGCTTAATTGTCTGGCCAGCGGTTAGGTTCTATTTACTATTTATGCTATGCTTGGGAAAGTCATGTTTAGATTAGAGAAGAATTAAAGAGAGCACGATCTTAACTCTAAGGGGGACGGATTTGTGGTTAGGATAGGAATATACCTAGTCACCATACTTAATTAAATATCGTAATCTATGCGTTCTTAATAGATTGATTTCATAGGAATATAGGCGTTAATCTATTTTGAATAGGCGAGTTGTACTTCGGGAGAAGGCTATGAGAGCAATTCTCGATTAATTAGCAACCATGAGTGAATTGTATGAAAGGAAGAGTTAACTAGAACATAATAGGATTGGTGAATCAATCACAACCCTGGAATATTTGTCACCTTTGAAAATTTCTATCCTCATGTTTCTCGGTATTGTTATGTACTTTTTGGTGTGTTTGGTTATCATATGGATCCACTCGGACTTAATTATTTTAACTTCATCTTTTGGGAAGAAAGAGTGATTATTAACTCATTGACATATTGGAAATCATAAGACTATTATCTTGTAGGAAAGTCAATTAAAGATGTCTGACAATAATGTCGATGGACTTGAAAAACATATGCACAAGCTAAAGCTTTACAGAAAAATTAGCGAAGTGCTCCGTTGAAGAAAATCTCTCAAAAAATAGGATGTGTGCTCAAAAAATCTCTCAGAAAAAGGATGTGTGCTCGGTCCACTATCAGTTTATTTAGGTAGGCGAATTATTGTTTTATTGTTAATTACTTTATCTTTTTATAGATATATTAAGCAATTTTGCAAGGTAGATACTTAATGCAATAATACTTTTGACAAATGACCTGATTATTATGTTGGTGTATATGCAGTCTTATCAGTAAGTCTAATGGTATTCTCCATTCACGGAGTGCAAAATATTATTTTCAATCACATTATATTGGATGATAAAATAATTATACATTATATCAAAATAATATAACTTTTGTTATTTCTTTGCAGCTACTACCGGCAGTAAAATTTTAAATTTATTGTTATATGTTATCATACATGTGATGTTCCTCCGGATATGTCTTATCGTATTGTGGTGTGCCCTAGCACCCTAAATCTAGATGGAAGCCTCATTATCTTTGTTGCTTTCATCGCCTGTTATTATTAAAATTGTGATTAGGATTTTCAGATTTACTATCTTCTTATGAGTTAGCTAAATATGATTAACATTCATTATTCAGTATCTTACCCTTTTTATTTACCTATTTTCTATATTATATCCCAAATATATTTTTAATATATGTATATGATTTTGTTAAATTTTTATGTACTAATATAGGATACGTAACAATAAACTAGTACTCCCTTTATTTCAATTTAAATGACACACTTTTCTTATTAGTCATTCCATAAAGAATAACAATTTTTTTAATTGTAACTAATTTAACTTTAAATTCTTTATTTTACACTTAATTAGAAGTTTTTATAATCACACCAATGTCATGATCCCACAAAACTTTTGCACCTTAAGCTTTTAAAATCGCAAGTTTCAAAAGAAAAAAAAAATCTTAAAACCCCATGCCGAGCAAATAACCTCATTTAAATTGAAATAGAAGTAAAATCTATATTATATTAAAAGCATGAACCCCTAAAGTTAAAAGTTGAATTACTATAATGCCCTTCTCATTACCTAAATATTCTACTTCTAAAAATATTTAAAAATATACAATATATTAGCAATTTAAATAGGAAATCCTGTTGGTGGGAATTTCGGGTCGTGACACTAAAGCGAACAATGGTAAATAAATTCAAACCGTGCGACTTGAACAGATGAATCTCACTTGAACTGGATGCAATTCAAACGATATTAGATATAGAAGAACAGTAGCTTGCAGATAGAAAATAATGTTATATTGCCTTGGGATACATGTAACAATGTGTTTTACAAATAATCAGACCCTCTTTATATAGTAGGGGGGTCCTAATTTAGGTACAATTCCTAAATTGGTATAAAAATCCCATAATTTACTACATAGCCAGTTCCTCATTGATACGTGCCGAGATTTTCGCCATGATACCCGACCGGTTATGGATATTTCCTTTCCGTTGTTCGGTCTGGCAATATTTTCTCGAGCTCATTCGGGGTCATGGTTGATTCCGAGGTCACGGACTCGATGTCCTCGTGGGCGAGCACTCTGACCTCGTATCTTGGTTCGGTGGACCCGGGGTCGATCTTAAACCTATCTCTTTTCGATCTCGATCTGTCGTGTTATAGACGAGCCCGATTTCGACCGTACACTATCCTATATGTAATTAGGGCGATGAGTAGACGAATCCCAACAAGGATGATGAGTCTTTTAGGTGAGTGTATGTGACATCTTTAACAAATCGCGTATATCGATAATACACGAGAAAGATGTTGGATAATGGGTATATAAAACATTTATATTGACGTATTTTAAAGTTGTGCAGAAGGTAAATGTTGACTATGAACTCTGAATNAAGGGGGCTTTCATGAACGTTTTTCATAATCAAGGCGGTAATGGTGTGAGATAATCAGATTTTCATACTCGCAATTATAACATAGAAAATATTGAGGGTAAGAAGCACTTTATTTATTTTCATAAAAGAAAAGAGTTGTGAATTTATTTATCTACATGTTCTAAATATTATTTACGGTTTGAAGTTTATGACGGAGAATGGTAAATCTGTATTATACTTTTTTATGTTATAAATTATTCATTAGGTTGCAATATTGAAGAGTACATTAACTTAAACTCTAAGAAGGTCCAAAAATTATTTATTTAACTTTTTAGTTATTAATAATTTGAGATTAATTTAATCAAAAGTTGAATAAAAAAATTTCAAATATAAATTAACTTCTAATATAAGATTTTTTGCATGATGCGATTGGAAGAATCTAAGTACTATCGCATGTTAGTGTTAAATAAAGATTAAAAAAACAACTTTCCTTATCACGATTGATAAGATAAGTGAAAATTTAAGGAGTTTATTTCTCAAGAGATACGTGAACTTGTAAATATTTATGCAATTGCAGTTGTGGACGAAGATAAGTTTGCAACAATACGTAAAAAGAAGAGGAAAAGAAAGAATGAAGATCAATGTCCAACGACTAATGATAAAATAAAGTTGAAAAGGATTAATGCACTTTTACATTGAAATAAACCATGAACTAATTTGATTTTTGAAGTTATATTTGTTGAGACAAGTATTTTACATTGAAATAAACCATGAACTAATTTGATTTTTGAAGTTATATTTGTTGAGACAAGTATTGTCGTTAGTGTGTCAATCTAAATAGTAATTTTAGTGTTTTTCTTCATATGAAGGCAATTTGTGCTGATATATCACCTCTTAAAATTGATTTATATTTTCGCCGTCATTATTATCTATAATTCTTTAAATGTTGTTATTATTAATTTTTGTAATTATCTATCTAGATTTATAATAAAGACAACCATTCAATCGCGAAAGACGTCAAGACAAATTCATACCGCAGGTATAAGTCAATTTAATGCCATCGAGCTACGAACATTAATAATTTTAGCATTTATATTATTTTATATTATTTGATTGCCTAATTCATTCACTATATAAAGAAGAATTCATTATGTAATTTAACATTTCATAATCACTATTCAGATTTGAACTCTAACACTTAATAATTTATAATTATTACTTATACAGTTGTACAAGATGAAACTGAAGATTTTGTGCATGAGATTTACAATTAAATAGAAAAGGCGAGGTTTGAATATTTCAAAAAAGAGCAATCAACTTTGAAAAGACAATTATATTGAGGCGCAATTAATAGTGCTATACTTGAAGGCCGATATAAAGAAGATAAAGTTGATTAAAGAATGCTAGTTCCGGCATCATCTTCAGAAACCATCAAAGTTTCAAAAGAGAGATGTACCAAAGTTTATTTCATAGTATGATTATTAAATGCATATAGATAGAGTTAATTGGAGAGTATGTCTTTTGATTTTATTCATCAAAGGCCTTTTAAGGTTAGGCGATAATACTAGCTCTTTCCGTTATATTTTAATTTGTAATTTATTACTAAATCAAATATTTTTTCAATATGTATGTATATTAAAAATTATTAACTCTTTTTGGTATGTTTTTTTATGTCAAAAATAAGATAAAATACGCAGAGAGGCTAGTATATATATAAATAGCTTAGCGTTATTACCCGTCATTGGCGTGGCCACGGAGCGACTCCATGCCCTTACTGAGCGCCAACGCTCTTGGATCACTGATTGAATCAGCCGTATCAACTCAATGCCTTCTTCTTGGGCGAGCAGTTCATGCCCATATAATCAGAACTCTTGAACCCCCTTTTCCACCTTTCCTCTCCAACCATCTCATCAACCTCTACTCCAAACTCGACGCACTCGACTCAGCTCAACTCCTCCTCTCGCTCACCCCGACTCGTTACCGTTCTGTTGTCACCTGGACCGCTCTCATTGCCGGCTCCGTCCAAACTGGTCATTTTACCTCCGCGCTGTTACATTTCTCTAACATGCGCCGTGAGTGTGTTCAACCCAATGACTTCACTTTCCCTTGCCTTTTTAAAGCTTCTGCGTTTTTGCATTCCCCCGTTACTGGTCAACAGCTTCATGCGCTGGCATTGAAAACTAGCTTGATTGAGGATGTTTTTGTTGGGTGTAGCGCTTTTGACATGTACAGTAAAACGGGTCTACGGGAATATGCGCGGAAGGTGTTTGATGAAATGCCGCAGCGGAATATAGCCACGTGGAATGCACGTATTTCTAATTCCGTGCTTGACGGGAAGTCTTACGATGCTGCTTTGAAGTTTATTGAGCTCTTGCGAGTGGGCGAAGAGCCACCAAACTCGATCACTTTTTGTGTGTTTTTGAATGCTTGCTCGGATGGTTTGTATTTGAAGCTTGGGCGGCAGTTGCATGGTTATGTGATTCGGCTTGGGTTTCGATCTGATGTCTCTGTTCTGAATGGATTGATTGATTTTTATGGCAAATGTCACGAGGTGAAGTATTCGGAGCTGGTTTTCGATGAGATAAATGAGCGAAATGGTGTATCATGGTGCACCATGTTGGCGGTGTATGAACAGAACGATATATGGGAGAAGGCTTTTATGGTGTTCCTTAAGGCAAGGAAGGAAGATATTAAGCCAACTGAATTTATGATTTCAAGTGCGCTTAGTGCTTGTGCAGGAATGGCAGTGCTTGAGCTGGGGAGGTCTATTCATGGTCTTGCAGTAAAGGCTTGTATCGAGAGTAACATATTTGTTGGCAGTGCACTTGTTGACATGTATGGGAAATGTGGTAACATAGAAGATTGTGAGAGCGCGTTTTATGAAATGCCTGAGAGGAATTTGATAACTTGGAATGCAGTAATGGGTGGTTATGCTCATCAGGGGTACGCGGACATGGCATTGAATTTGTTTGAGGAGATGACAAGTGAAAGCCATGACGTGGTGCCTAATTTTGTGACATTAGTTTGTGTATTGACAGCTTGTAGTAGGGCTGGAACTGTTAAAATAGGCATGGATATCTTTGAATCTATGAGGAAAAAGTATGGGATTCAACCAGGGCCAGAGCATTATGCATGTGTTGTCGATATGCTTGCAAGGGCTGGTTTGGTGGAACGTGCATACGAGTTTATCAAGAAAATGCCTGTTCCACCAACAGTTTCAGTCTGGGGGGCTCTTTTAGGGGCTTGTAGAGTTTATGGAAAACCTGAACTAGGGAAGGTTGCAGCTGACAATTTGTTTCAACTTGATCCAAAGGACTCTGGAAACCATGTTATTCTTTCAAATATGTTTGCAGCTGCTGGAAGGTGACATTTAGTTCTTTGTTTCCCTAAGATAGTTCTTGAACATCTTATTGCATGCAAAAAGTTCACCAAATCGCAGTCTATGTCCTTTCTTTTTTACTAACTTAATATGTGTATAAAAACTGACATTCGAATCTCCTCCACAGTGTGTTGTTGGTTTATTCTGTTTTCGACCATCTATGTTCTTGTTATCTTGTCATACAATTGTGAAGCTATCCTAGGAGAACAGAGGACCTGTTAATCTATATTCAACTTTGTTATTGAAACATTGCATGAAATTTTACTGTTAAGTCCAAACCGGTTTGACCCCTTGAAGGACCAATAAAGTTCTTTATCTGTGTTACTACTACAGCTGGATTCAGGAAATATCTCTTCCTCTATTCTCATTTATATGACACTCTTTCTGTTTTGGGAACCCAAAGTATTTACACATGTTCATCAATAGTATTATGCTATTAACTTTGGCTTGGAAGGAGAGGGTGGAGTGGGGGGGTTTGTCATGCTTGACTATTGCTTGTCCCTTTTTATAAATTGGCACTTCTATCTGCAGAATTCAAGTTAAATGTTTGTCCATGGTCATTGGTATATAAGCTTGGCGTTCTCCAATACCTATTTATCATAAGAGGTAACTGCAGGTGGGAGGAGGCTAATCTCGTCAGGAAGGAGATGAAGGACGTGGGCATCAAGAAAGGGGCCGGATTCAGTTGGATATCTGTAAAGAATTCTGTCCATATTTTCCAAGCAAAGGATACAATTCATGAGAGATACCCAGAGATTCAAGCAATGCTGGCCAAGTTGAAGAGAGATATGAAAGCAGCAGGTTATACTGCTGACACGAACTTTGCTCTGTATGACTTAGAGGAAGAAGAAAAGGAATCAGAAGTTTGGTACCATAGTGAGAAGATTGCACTTGCTTTTGGTCTCATTGCTATCGCTCCTGGAGTCCCTATAAGGATAACAAAAAATCTGAGGGTTTGTGTGGATTGCCATAGTGCAATAAAGTTCATATCGGGCATTACTGGTAGAGAAATTATAGTAAGAGATAACAACCGCTTTCATTGTTTCAAGGACTACCAGTGCTCGTGCAGAGATTATTGGTGAATCTAGTTTAGGTATACCAGAGAATTCTGGTGGCTTCCTTGCCATTCTGCCACTGATCCAGGCACTAATTTACACTCATGATGTTGAGGTTGAGGGTCTGAACTAGAAGATATCACCTCCATAAGTTTTCTTCACTGCCAAGGCGAAGCTGGAATTGCATACAAGGTCCAGCATCCCCTGCTAGAGGCACGTTAAGGGCTTCACAAATCTGAAACTCAAAACTACGTGTAAACTGGCATTGCAGCACAAAACAGCTATGCTAACAGGTTTTTTAGCGCCTCAAGCATGAACCATATGAATTCTTCCGGTTCTCTTGCATGTTATGTTATTTTATCTTCACGCTGATGACAAAACAATTGAATGCAAGAAGAAGCTCCTGGTGCTGCCAGAGTACCTTATGCAAGAAGAAGCTCCTGGTGCTGCCAGAGTACCTTATGCAAGTTTATGACAATTTCAACATGAAAACTTGTATGGTGCTGCCAGAGTACAAGTTTACGACGATTTCAACATGAAAAACTTGTATGGTACTCCTTGCTTGCAGTTGTGTTGTAGATCCATATTCCTAGTACATATGCACAAACACACAGAAAGATGAAGACGCAAAGTAAAAAAAAAAACTGATTGATATCTTCCCAAACAGCAACTATGCCTCAATCCAAAAAAGTTGGTGTCAGCTATATGAATCCTGACTGGCCTTGTCGCTCCGTTTAAGCGAGGACATTTGGTCTGGTGGTATGATATATTTACTGACAAATTTAGATAAGTTAGTATGATATTTTAGTTGTAAAGCTCTTATGAAAAGATCATGAATTGTTCCATTGTTATTACCGATGACTGATGAGCTACTGTTCTCGACAAATATTTTGACCACAAAGATACCCTAGGAAGCTTTTTGGGTTAGTAAAATATGTACATAGTTCAAGTTGTTGGTTCAGATACATGATAACTAGTATTTAATTTTCGCCATCATGACTTGGACACACCTCCCGTGAAACCACTTTATCTATATTTTTGAAACCCCTAGTATCCAGAACTGAATATGAAAGATTTAAAGAAAGATGTAGGCAGAAGGAAGTCTTTTGTTGCCTATGGATTGAAAGAAATTGAATGTCCCACAGTAATAAGAATGATGTGGAAATCATGAAAAGATCTTTCTTATTTCACTTATCATTTTGGTGTAAACAGAAAATATGGTGTTGTATAGACTACTGATAAAAATATGATAAATGTCAATGGTTGCCTCATGTTGAGTCATATAGACAACTCGTAAATACTTTCGACAGAGACTTGGCGTTAGTAATGAAAACTTGTCCAACGAAAAAGGTAGAGAGAAGGGAGAGAAGCTTATATTTGAATCATTTGTTCGTCTATCTTTGATTTGATTGGAGACCAACTCGGGTCAAAGTTACAGAGAGTTCCAATAGAAGATTACTTGCATAGTTTCTCATTTAACAACTAATCAGGGATGTTTTTGGTATTTTGAACCTTGGTTTAAGAACTCGTCTGCGTCAAGGCTTGGCCTCATCGACGTTCTTCTTTGATTTGTTCGTTTCAGCCGCAGGGTTCGTGAAATAAAGCTTTTCTATCTCAATTTTGCTGTTATCCCTTCATTTCTCTTGCCTTTTGCTATTTATCGCTTTTTGCTACGCGTGGGGCCTCACCAGTGGTAGCGGTGACAATCCTTCCCTCCTTTGTTTGGCTTCGTGGTGTTTTGTGTGTATTTCAGGTTAGGACCTGTGGCTGTTAGCGGCGAACAGGACGTGCGTGTGCAAACATTAAAGAACAATCCGAGCGAGTGTCAGCAAGGGGCGGCAGGAATTGGACGCGAACGTGTCAGGTGGCCGCAACATCGTCATATATACCAAGACAATTCCCAAGTCCTACTCGCGGGAGTTGGTACCTCCCGTTTTCCTGTTTCCCTTTATTGTGTTACTTAAATTACTGCCATCTTAGTTCGTATTAGTCTATTCACCGTATTAGTGTGCATGCAGTTGCAACTTATCTTCTTCTATTTTGGTCTGTTGACTTGTGTGTGTTAGGGATTCCCCTTAGTATGCCGTAGGTATTGTGGCTGTGGTCTGGGATGGTCGAGTGAGATCATTTCCTCGGGGAGAGCGAGGGGTGGGGCAGGAGATAGGGCGGGGGTTGGGAGTGGGTCGGGAGGCAAGGGAGGTAAAGGGAACAAGGGTGTCTATAGGTTGAGAATTGGGTCATGGAACGTAGGTACATTGACAGATAAGTCTATAGGGTTGGCAAAGATCCTCCAGAAGAGGAAGGTCAATATAGCGTGTGTCCAGGAGACAAGGTGGGTAAGGTCGAGGGCGAAGGACGCGGACGAGTATAATTTGATACTCAGGAGTCTAGAGAGATAAGAATGGAGTGAGTATCTTGGTAGATAGGGAACTTAGAGAGTCTGTGGTTGAGGTTAGACGAGTGAATGATAGATTAATGAGTATTAAGTTGGTGGTTGGAGAGCGAACCTTGAATATCGTTAGCGCCTATGCACCGCATGTGGGCCTAGATGAGGAGGTTAAACGGCGCTTTTGGGAGGGGTTAGATGAGATTGTGCACCACGTTCCACCGGCTGAGAAGTTATTCATAGGAGGGGATTTCAATGGTCATATTGGGTCGACCGTAGGTGGTTATGGCGAGGTGCATGGAGGCTTCGGTTTTGGGGAGAGGAACAGAGGAGGTACCGCGCTTTTGGACTTCGCTATGGCTTTTGGGTTGGTATTGCGAACTCTAGCTTTCCGAAGAGAGAGGAGCATTTGGTTACTTTTCAAAATGCGGTGGCGAAGACTCAGATTGACTATCTACTCCTCAAGAGGTGTGACAGAGGGCTGTGCAAGGATTGCAAGGTGATTCCGGGTGAGATACTCGTGACACAGCATAGGCTATTGGTGATGGACATTGGTATTATGTTAAAGAGGAGGAAAAGGTCAGCTCGAGGAAGACCGAGAATCATGTAGGGAGCCTTAACTAAGGATAAAGCCCAAGAGTTGGAGGGGCGGTTGTCGGCTATGGGAGCTTGGAGGAGCAGTGGTGACGCGAGCACAATGTGGTCCGCGACATCAAAATATATAAGAGAGGCTGCGAGAGAGGTGTCTTCATGGAAAGCTGATAATTCCATCAGTAAGGTCTGGCAGATGATCCCTTCTTGTATTTTGTGGTGTGTTTGGACAGAAAGGAATCGCAGATGTTTTGATGGGATATCAACTCCAACATACACACTTAAGGCTAGATGTTTTTTATGGTTATATAGTTGGCAGAACTTAGCTCCTGTAAATTGTCCTATTAATCTTTTGGACTTCGTCAGCTCCTTAGCTTCAGCCTAGTTTTTGTCTGAAGAGCTGACTATGTCTTTATGTATCTCTCTCTTTTGTACTTCTTGCATCTTTTTTATGCCTTTAATGCAATTCTCTTACTTCATAAAAAAAAAAGGGAGGCTGCGAGAGAGGTGTTAGGGGTCTCGACGGGTGTCTCTGGTGGGCACAAAGGAGATTGCTAGTGGAATGAAGTGGTCCAAGGTAAAGCGGAAGCGAAGGAGGCGTACTTGAAGTTAGTGGGGAGCATAGGTGAGGAGGAGAGGCGAGCGTGCAGAGGTATAAGGTAGCTAGGAAGGAAGCTAAGCTGGCGGTCACGGAGGCTAAGATTGCGGCTTATGGTCGTATGTACGAGGATCTGGGGAAAAAAGGCGGGGAGAAGAAGTTATTCCAGCTGGCCAAGTTGAGGGGGAGGAAGGCTCGGGATTTGGACCAAGTGAGATGCATCAAGGACGAAGATGGTAGAGTATTGATGGAAGATGCGCAGATTAAGAGAAGATGGCAGACTTATTTTCATAAACTTCTGAATGAAGACGGGGATCGGGATATTGTGCTAGGCGAATTGGAACATTCCGAGAGTCACCGTGACTTTGGGTACTGCGGGGGTATCAAGGTTGAGGAGGTCGTAGGAGTTATGCGTAAGATGAGTAGGGGTAGAGCGATCGGACCAGACGAGATTCCGGTGGAATTTTGGAAGAGTGTGGGAAGAGCAGGTTTGGAGTGGTTGATTAGGTTGTTTAATGTTATTTTTAAGGCAAAGAGGGTGCCGGAGGAGTGGAGGTGGAGTACGGTAGTTCCATTGTATAAGAACAAAGGTGATATCCAGAGTTGTAACAATTATAGGGGTATCAAATTATTGAGTCATACCATGGAAGTATGGGAGAGGGTGGGTGAAGCGAGGGTGAGGATGACAGTGTCTATATCCGACAACCAGTACGGATTCATGCCGAGTCGTTCTACTACAGAAGTTATACACCTTGTTCGGAGGTTGGTGGAACTATATAGAGAGAGGAAGAAGGATCTGCACATGGTGTTTATTGACCTAGTGAAAGCGTATGACAAGGTTCCTAGAGAAGTTTTCTGGAGATGCTTGGAGGCAAAAGGTGTGTCGGCCCCGTACATTATGGCGATTAAGGACATGTACGATGGGGCTAAGACTCGGGTTAGGTCAGTAGGAGGCGACTCTGACCATTTTCCGGTTGTAATGGGGTTACACCAAGGTTCTGCACTCAGTCCGTTCTTATTCGCCTTGGTGATGGACACGTTAACGCACCATATTCAAGGGGAGGTGCCATGGTGCATGCTATTCGCCGATGACATAGTTCTGATTGATGAGTCGCGAGCCGGTCTTAACGAGAGGCTGGAGGTTTGGAGACAAACTCTTGAGTCTAAGGGTTTCAAGCTGAGTAGGACGAAGACGGAATACCTGGAGTGTAAGTTAGCACTGACCCGGGGGAAGTGGGCGTGGATGTGAGGCTTGAATCACAGGTCATCCCAAGTAGAGGCAGCTTCAAGTACCTTGGATCGGTTATCCAGGGGGGAGGGGAGATCGACGAGGATGTCACACATCGTATTGGGGTAGGATGGATGAAGTGGAGGTTAGCATCTGGAGTCCTGTGTGACAAGAGAGTGCCACTGATACTCAAAGGTAAGTTCTATAAATCGGTGATTAGACCGGCCATGATGTATGGGGCTGAGTGTTGGCTTGTTAAGAACTCACATATCCAGAAGATGAAAGTAGCAGAAATGAGGATGTTGAGGTGGATGTGCGGGCACACTAGGATGGATAAGATTAGGAATGATGATATTCGGGAGAAGGTGCACGTGGCTCCCATTGATGACAAGATGCGGGAAGCGAGGCTCAAATAGTTCGGGCATGTTCAGAGGAGAAGCCCAGATGCTCCAGTAAGGAGGTGTGAGCTGCTAGTTGTGGAGGGAACGAGAAGAGGTAGAGGGCGGCCTAAGAAGTATTGGGGAGAGGTGATCAGGCATGATATGGCGAGGCTTCAGATTTCCGAGGACATGACACTTGATAGGAAGTTGTGGAGGTCGAGTATTAAGGTTATAGGTTAGGAGGTAGTTGAGTCTTGCCTTACTAATACCTTTGTGAGACTAGTCTGATAGGGTTTTTGTCTAAGATAACTAGTGAAAATGTTGTATCTTACTATTTTTAGTGCACGACCTATTTACTAGCTATCGGTTTTGCTTTGCATCTTTCTTCTGGATTTCATGTTGTTCCTATTTTTCTTATGATTTCTGTAGTGATACTAATATTGTCTACTTTTGTCTTTTTGTTCTCTTGAGCAAAGGGTCTTTCGGAAACAGCATCTCTACCCCTTAGGGGTAGGGGTAAGGTCTGCGTACGCACTACCCTCCCCAGACCCCACTAGTGAGATTTTACTGGATTGTTGTTGTTGTTGTTAGTGTTGTTGTTCTGTGTTTTGAACTTGAAGCACTCACTTGCTAGTTAATTGCTGTTTATTAAATGTTTTTCTTCACTTCTCTAGTATGCAATCAAGGTGCCATGCAGAACTCTAAGAAGAGAACACCGCTGGACAGGAAAATCTAGCAATTCTATTATGTAACAGTGACTCTAAGTTTATTGAACAATTTTTTTCCAGTGCCTCATTCTTTTCCCCTATCTCATGACTCATATTAGTGTGACACTAAGGTAATTAGTGATTGAGCAAATTTTTGCTCTAAATTTAAGGTTGTATGCTGTTGCAACCTTGAAAAATTATAAGAAGCAAATTGTCTGCTTTCAAAGTTATTGGGCAGGACTTCGTAATTCTAGTTATACATTTCAGTTTAAATTGCACACACCTTCCAAAGAAAAGATTCTTCTATCTGGATTTTTAAGTTTTTATTTTTTATTTTTTTAGGTGATGATTTGTTCTATTTTTTAGCTGAGTTCAAGAAACATTTCTCAGAAAAACACACAGGATGGCAGATTCAGTGAGTGGACATGCTAAGCTCAATTTGCTAGTTTGGAGGGTACACGGATTTGCTTGTTTGCTCTTGATTTCATGATGAAAGTTTAAACCATTTTGCATCAACACTTGTAGCTGCAAGAGATCAAGAAATGAGTTTGAGTGATAATCAAAATGCTGTTACATTTGGCATATATAGGGAGAGAATAACACCTTTGCCCTACCTCTTTTGCTAGATTTATGCAATCCATTAGAGATAAGCAAAGCATGACCTCCTGTTTCAATTAAATCTGCAAAATTTCCAATTATCTCTTGCAACTCTCTTGCAAACTGTTTGCAAGATGAATATAGATGCCAAGTACTCAGAGTTCCATTGCGATTGATGGTCATATCAGAAGCGAAGATGGTCCTAAATGAAGATGTCAGAGGCAAGCTAGGGCAATGCTCAGTTAATATGGCTCAATTTTGTGGCCATAACAGCCGTCTTCATAGGAGTTAGATTGTTGTGTAACGAACTCCGGAAGGGACATTGTTATGAGATTGCCGAGAACTAATCGATGGAGAATTGCAGTGTGATATAAAACATGGAGGCAAAGAAAAGGCAGCAGACTATCTAGCAAAGGAGGGACACGATGCAAATGGAGATGATGAGCTGGTGGTTATCGACGATCCACCACAGTACATGATGCAGTTGCTTCTACCACTAGGTAGTTGGCATTTTTGGCGTGCAATGTAATTAAAAAAGGGATGAATTTTTGTGGCATAACTTAACGAATTATTCCGTGCCACTTTTGAATGAGTTTAGTGGAGGTGCTTGGAGGTTAGCGGCGTCCCGGTAGCGTACACTAGGATGATTAAGGATATATACGATGGTGCTAAAACTCGAGTGAGGATTGTGGGAGGAGACTCGGAACACTTTCCAGTTATGATGGGGTTGCACTAGGGATCGGCTCTTAGCCCGTTCTTATTTGCCCTGGCGATGGACGTGCTGACGCGACTCATCCAAGGGAGGTGTCATGGTGCATGTTGTTTGTAGATGATATTGTGTTGATAGACGAGACACGGGGTGGGGGGGGGGGTGTCAACGCGAGGTTAGAGGTTTGGAGACAGACCTTGGAGTCTAAAGGATTCAAGTTGTGTAGGACCAAAACAGAGTACTTGGAGTGCAAATTTAGTGACGAGACCCTTGAAGCAGACGTGGGTGTGAAACTTTATACTCAAGTCATCCCCAAGAGAAGTAGTTTCAAGTATCTCGGATCTATTATACATGGTAACGGGGAGATCGACGAGGATGTCACACGTCGTATTGGAGCGGGATGGATGAAGTGGAGGCTTGGATCTGGTGTTCTATGTGATAAGAATGTGCCGCCAAAATTTAAGGGTAAATTTTATAGAGTGGTTGTTCAACCAACCATGTTGTATAGGGCGGAGTGTTGGCCAGTTAAGAGCTCTCATGTTCAGAAGATGAAAGTAGCAGAAATGAGGATGTTAAGATAGATGTAGGTGTACTAGGAGGGATAAGATTAGGAATAAAGTTATTGAGGATAAAGTGGGAGTGGCCTCCGTGGAGGACAAGATGCGGGAGTCGAGGCTGAGAGGTCCGGGCATA